TGTAGTTGCTTTCAAAGTGATATTCCAGGTTCCAGTAACTTCTCCTCAATTTGTGTTACTGCTAGATCAATTGGTTGGTTGATTAAGATTGCCCCTGTCTTAAAATAAGTTGAGTCATCTTGCTGTTTTCCCTTGTAACTCTACTACTCAAAAACTTTCAGTGGCTCCTGAGTTGGGCTGGACCACAGAGGCCCTTACAGGTTTGAAGTTCAGCTCTTGGATTGTAAATCAGATTCACTTTTGTTTTGCTGGCAAATGAGCAGAACAAGGGTACTGGTGGGTGGGACTGGCTCCTTGTTGACTTCTTAGTTCTTCAGGAAGGTGCACTTTGTATGTAGTGGCTCTGAAAACCTCTGTGGAATGAGGAATTTGTTAGGTCAGAGAAACTCAGAACTCTAGTTTCACTGCCTTTTCTATCTTTTTGGGCTTGGCAGAGGTGTACCAGGGGAGGTGGGGTATCTTGGCTCTTAAACTATCCCACAGTGACATAGTTTTGTGTTCTATTTCTTGTTGTATCATCAGATCTACCTGAGGTTTTAGTAGAAGAGGCTTGGGCCGTGGCCCACCATAGTACAAATGCAGGATGTCAAATATGGTACTGTTGTGACCACTTCTCCTTCCTGTGTTCAGGGCAGACATTCCTAATCAATCACAGCCTCTTTTTGTAAGCCAGGATGTGACTTCACAATTCTTGACAATGTTCTTCAGCCATCTCTTACCAGTGGATTCATTCATTCATTCCACAAATATGTGTGTAGCACCTACAATGTGCAGGCATTATTCTAGATGCTGTAGATACTGCAAAGAAAAAGCCAGATGCCTATTCTCATGGAGCTTACATTCTAGTTGGGGGTAAAGGAAATAAACAAGTAGACAAACAATTTGAGATAGTCATAAGCTCTGTGAGGAAAATGAGACAGGACATTGTCATTGAGAGTGACTCGGGGTAACTAATTTGGATGGAGAGGTCAAAGAAGGCTGCTCTCAGGATGTGGCTTTTGCTCTGACACCTGACCAAGGAAAAGCAGGTGGTCCAGTGAACAGCACCTTGGAGACAGTGAACAGCCAGTCACAGTCCCTTAGGTTGGGAGCCAGTTTAGCTTGTTCCAAAGACAACCAGGAGGCGAGTGTGTCTGGATCAGAGTAGAGAATGGGGAGTGTGCTATAAGAGGAGGGCAGAGGTTGTTGGTCTCTTGTTAATTGTTCCATTCTCAGTGCCTAGAATAGGGCTTGGCACAAAGCCAATATTTGTTTAATGAGTAAATTAAGGTAGAGGCTCTGATGTGATATAATGATAAAACTATTGAAGATTCTTTCTGGTTTGACCCCTACCTACCTTTTCAGTCCACTATTTCCTTGCACAGTCAAATAGACATTTTTTTCTTTTTTACCACAAATACACTGTGAAAATCTTTTTCTTCCATGTTTTGCTTCCCTATTATCCTTGCCTCCAGGTCTCCACGCAAGTTTTACTCTTTAAAACCCAGATATTGTCACATCTTCTCTGTGAAACTTTTCCAAGCAATTCAAAATAGGGTAATTTCTCCTTCCTCTGAATTTCTTTAATAGCTAGCATGTGTGTCTTTTGTTAACACTCAACATAATAAACTAAACAATCAATTTGTTAACAACTTTCTTTATCCTGTGTCTCCAATCCAGGACTGTCTTGATGGCAGGGGTTGTTGTCTATGTCTTGACATCTTAAGCACCTCCCAGTTGCCTTGTCCATGGTTGTTGCTCAGAGAGACTGTTGTTGATGATCTCAGTACCTCCCCATAGAGGCTGAATGTCTGTGACTGGTGAGCTGAGAGCTCGTGCGGTTGGTGTTGTGTTTGGGCCCACGTGAGTCAGCGAACCTCCTTCTGCTCCTTCTGCAGGGGCGGGGTCTGGTGGTCCCAGGAGCACAAGGAGAAGAACCGGTGAAAAGGGCCTAGAGGAAGGAATGTGGATGATGGTCAGCCTGATTACCACCTTTAGGTTGTTGAACATCATCACACCACAAAAGGCAGTAAGTAAATTTAAAAATTCCTTTCCTAGCCAAATACTGTATGATTTCACTCATATGTGGAAGCTAAAAACAACAACAAGAAGCAAACACATAGATACAGAGATTAGCTTGGTGGTTACCAGACAGGAAGGGGGGAGGGGGGCGGGTGAAAGGAGTAAAAGGGCACATGCATACAGTGATGGATGGCAATTAGACTTTGGGTGGTGAACATGATGTAGTCTTCACAGAAATCGAAATATAATGATGTACACATGAAATTTATATAATGTTATAAACCAATGTTACTTCAATTAAGAAAATTAATTTAAAAAATTTCCTTTCCTTTGATGCATCAATAATCTCATCTTCATATTCAAAGTACAGCAAGTAATAATCTCTTATTTGTGGGAGAACAAAGCTTTGAATGAAACCCACATTTTAGATGTTTGAGGTGGCTGTGAGAGATAAGAACCAAAGTAAACCGAATAAATGAGAAGCAGTAGTGGCAGTTATTCACACTTCAGGAATCCAGGACTTAATAACCATGAACTGAACCTTGATAAATGGCAAGTTCTGGAAATAAAGTTTAATTATCATGTAATCTTTATTATTGGGTTAAATTAACTATCACCTGGCAACATCTCTGCAAATGTTGAAAGCTTTGATGTCCAACTTAGGAGATACATGTACTTTATATCCCCCTCAGAGAGATGAACTTCAAGTGTGAAGCGTTTAGTCAACTTGGTCCTTCTTTTTAATCACTGCTCTAAAAAAAAAAATCCTCTTTTTTTATTCTTGTAAAATATTTATTTTATTATATTTTATATGCTAAATAAAAGTAGCCGTAGATACAATCTGCCCTGAGCCAACAGACCATACATCAATTCATGAATACTTAGCCGAAGGTATTTTCCATGAGACCCATGAAGCATTTCTAATTGAAACTTAAGCTACTATGCAGCAAACATTCTCATCTTCAGCTCTAGAAGGGAAATATGATTCTGCATGCAGACATAGAAGCTTTTTAATTTAGCTGGAAGAGAGTGTTTGTGACTGTGCAGTTGTGTGGTGTAATTTTTTTTAATTGCTGAAGTGTCATTGTTTGTTATTTCATATTTATTGAAAAATGTAAATGTCACATGTAACAGAATAGCAATAAGTCTTGTTCCAGCCTGATGGCTTAATCTTACTAATCATGCTAATATATGCTAGCTGGAGATGGCAATATTTAATAAAATATTGGAACACATTTGTTGTGCTTACATTTTAAGGAAATTAAAAAGAGTACCTTCATCTGCAACATTTAAAACTTTATTGACTTTAAATATGTATGAAACAGTGCAGAGATGATCACTGGAGGAAAATGGGTGTACCTCTGTGAGGATCTTAGTCATTCAACACATGAGCACGTGTGCCGGACTGAGGCACACCGTTCTGGAAAGAGAAGCAAAGATAGTAGCAAGATCTCACATTTATCTGCGCTTTCCATTTTGGGGCATCTTTGCGCACTTTTTTTTTTTCGTTTGAGCTTCACAAGCCTCTAAGGTGGCAGAGCAGACACAGTATAGATGAGGATCCTAAGGCTAGGAGAGATTGTATCCACAAAGGCGAAGTCCAGGCCTTCCTCTCCTCATCAAATGTACATCAGTTATTCACCAATCTTATATACACACATTCAAATGGACGCTGTGCCTCCGTAACTTCTGTCAAAAGCGCTCTTTGGCGACTGGAAAAACGCCACGACTCTGTTTTGTCGTAAAGGGTGGGCGTGGTTGCTTGGGCTAAATCCCTCCGCCCCTTTCCCTTCACAGTTCCGGTGGCATACGTGGGATCCAGGGTCCTCCAGCTCCAGCACAGCAGCGTGCACAACTTTGCCCAGATAAGTTACTTGCTGAAAGCTAAAACGTGATTATTCATAAAACAGATGCAAAAGGATAATAAATGTGAATGACAGCCACTCAAAGTCGAAACCTTGGTGTTTTGTTTTTTGTTTGTTTTTAGAAGAACAATCAACAACTGTCATTTGAAGTTCACCAAGTAATTCTGCAAGATCTAATTCAAGAACAAGTACTGGTTTGAAATGGTTAAAAGATAAGAGTAAGAAGGACAGTACAGCAAAGTTTCAACACAACCCATACATCTCCTCTGTCTTCCTCCAAGGCTTCCTAGATTGGAGCCTGGAGGACGGGCCATCCAGCCCTGCGCGAGTGGGGTGGCTCCCGACGCGAGCATCTGACCCAAAGACCTTAAGGGCAAGTCCGCCACGAGTCCTCTCACAACATTCCAAGTTCCGACCTAGCTCTCCTCATCGTGCCCTCCCAATACGCTTTCAGCCAACTCCTAATCGGCTCTAGCAATGTCGATCTAAAGCTTTTCTCGGCCTCCGAATGGGAGAAAAGAGGAAGCAGGTACTTCCCGGCCGGCGGACTCCGCGAGGGCAGGCAAAGATGCGCCCAACTCGGGGCAAGTTGGTTGGCCGCCTTCTCTCCTCGACGCGCACCGGCTCCGCGGCTTCTTCCAGGAAGGAGCGCGGATGGGAGAGAGAAGGCGGCGCGGAGAGAACTTGCGTCGCCGAGCCATCCTCAGCGGCTCCCGGGCGCAGCGAGGAACAGGTGCCTTTTCTCCGACGTCCGGGAGTGGCGCCTGCTGCACCTTGCCCGCTGTCGCGCCCCCTCCCGGGACACCCCATCGCCCTTTGCGCCCCCGCCCTCCCCCAGCCCGTCCCCCCCGATTCCAGGGTAGGGGAGGCGCCGGCTCGCAGGTAATTATTG